GGCCCTTCATTTGAACAAATTTCAATCATCTTTACCCAAGGATAGTTTGTGGCAAGTTTGGTGGAAATTGGCCCAGTGGTTCTTGAGAAGTCGAAAATGTGAAAAGTTTATGCACGACGCACACCCGCACAACGACGGATGAAAACAGATAGCAATAGGTCACCTGAGTGACTCAGGTGACCTAATAAATATAAAGCACTGTGATTTTTTTTCTTTATTTCTGAAAATGCCTGAGTAAATGGGGTTATCACTGATGCTAGACTGCTGTGGAGATAAGGCTGCAGCAGTGGCTTACTATGGGAGTATACAGTAACGCCTTATCTTGAAAGCTCTGAGGGGGAAATAGTTAATGCACTCTCACTATATAATCATTAAAGCCCCACCTTAACACCAGAACCTCTGACCCAGGGGCCATGAAATTCAAAATTTTAGAAGAGGCACACTTCCTCATCATAATTATGCTTTTGTTTGCTGAATACCCAGGAGCAGAGGAGATGATTTTTTAAGAAATATTGCATATTCACTATATGTTCAACAGAGCCCAATTAACCCTAGCACCAAACCCCCTGACCCTGGGGCCATGAATTTCACAATTTTTGTAGAGGGCTCAATGCTCATTACAATCATGCCAACAGTTTGACTGCTTGATGTCTATAGGAGTAAAGAAGATTTTTAAAGATTGCATTAATTTTAGTGAATTTTGCCCCACCCCTCAGGCTAAAGGAGGGCATGGGGCCATGAAATTCACAATTTTTGTCCCCTTCATCAAAATATATGCTATGTGCCAAAATTGGTTGAAATTGGTTGAGCAGTTTCAGAGAAGAAGCAAAAAATGTTCAGAAATTAAGGCACATCGCATGTCGACAAACGAAAACAGATAGCAGTAGTTCACCTGAGTTTACTCAGTTCATGCCTGTCCTAAGCAGCCATGTAGGAAAATATTTTAAGAAAAGCAATACCGCATTTTAAAATTTGACTAATCAAAAGACAGTGAATTAGGGGATCCATGATTTTAGCGATGGATTTAGTCCAGCAATTCAATATCTATAGCTGTAAGGTTTCAAGATCGAAGGAAAATTATGGATACAACTATCAAAATACTTTGCATAAATGTAATGAAGAGGCAAAAAAACATAACAATTACAGGAAATGCCACTGCATGACTCCATTTGAAAAACAGCAATTAGCTGTTAATCCTCTTTTTAGGAAGATTTCTTTTATAGCACCTTTGTTGAAATTAGGGATGGCAAATTGTTACCAGTTAACCGATTACTCGCTCGGAACAATGGTAATTGGGTATAAAATCTGTAATCGGTTAGTTGGGTATAAAAAAATATCTGTAAATTTGGACGCATTTTCTTTAATGTAGGTTGCGGGTTTGTTGACGTTGTTAAAACAAGGTACACAATTTATATGATTTGGGCGACTTTCTTGTGCAAATTTGATTTAACGTCACAATGAGTAAGAAATCTTCGATTATTTTTTTTTAAATCTTCAATACAACAAACTGAAGTTATCACAAATAGAAAAACTTTTACGATTTAAATGTTGGAAAATCTAAAGCATTAGAAAGCATTTATTTATCATCACATTGAGACCCTAACAGTGTCACGAAAACATATGGAACAAGTGTTAACTGCATGATTATTTTTTTTCCCTTTGACATATTTTAATAAAAAGTTTGTTACTCTGATGAACTGTCATTATATAAACAACTGCAGTTACAGCTGTTAAATCAAAAGTTTAAACTTTATTTTTAAAAAGGAAATTTTGAAAATAAATGTATATCTATATCACAATTGAAAAACTGCTCAGGTACTATGAAGTGTAAAGCATACCTTCAATAAGTAACAGCTTACACGTGTACAATACTGTTCATGAGCGGATCTAGAGGGGGGTTGGGGGGTCCAGACCCCCCACCTGGAATTTGCAAAATCATTTAAAGTATATACTGAAGCAAATAAAAAATTACTTTGGACCCCCCAGGAAAACGTGAACCCCATCATTATCACCATTTTTTTACATTTGGGAATGGACTTTATGGGTTTTTGTCTTTGATTGTCAAGAAATTTTCTGGGTTTGATACGTTTGGGAAAGGAGTTTACGTTTGTTTTGTTTTGTTTTTTTTGCTTGTGAAGAAAATTCTGGATTGGATTTTTTTTGGACTGGGGTGGAAGCCCCCCCCCCCCCCCCCCCCCCCCGGAAAAAATTCCTGGATCCGCGCCTGCTGTTAGCTTCAGATTTTATCTTATTTGCTTACCTGGTCGAGCAAGTTGCGCTATAAATTGAAAAGTCACTAAACAAAACCAAACAAACAAACAAACAATCTGAGTAGTTATTTTTTAGCCTGTCGATAAGATGAGATGAGGCGGTGGGGGGGGGGGGGGGGGGGGCGAGAAGTTCTTGGTATTTTTTTTTTATTTACCAACAGAATAGGATTCATTTGGGGGGGGGGGGGGGAAACGCTGATGAAATGTGGTGATAAGACTGCGACATCATGTTAATTAAAGGAGCAGTCGTATGCTGCGTGTGTACTCGTACCAGTAATGTGAAAATTCCGTATACAAAGAAGGGTTTTGTATAGTTTTTTCAAGAATAAGAAATATAATCCATCCATATTAAATACAAAAAATCCACTCATACAGGAACTAGCTCCCAGTATGTAAAAAAAAACAACTTTTTTTCCTAATTAAATTCTCTAATTAATATTCCCTCCCCCATTCTTGTAAGTAAAAAAGTCTCTGAATTATGCTAGGAGTACTGCACCTGCAAGCCCCACCCAAGCCTTCTCTCTCTATCTCTAGTTACATCTTAAAAACAATTGAAACCCATAAAGTGTTTCAGACAAGATTTATTGTTACCTAACTCATACACCTGTTTTTATTTTACATTAAATGTATATAGACATAAATTTCTTTCTTATTTTTTTTTTCTGTTTTTCTGCGATAGTTTATAGCGTCATTCTTAAAAAATGTTACATTTTGCAAATTAAAAGCAATAATTCGTATTTAAATTACAAGAAAGCTAACTCAAAGACATATTAATTTTTTTACATAGATTTATCGGAAATCATCTCTGTGTGAAATGACCTAAGGGGGAACAATTTCGTCTGCACCATTTAAAAACTACTGAGATTTTTTTACACGAAATCTTGCCTGAAAACGAGTCAAAAATGATGTATTCCCTATAGAATTCAATTGAATAGCATAGAAAATGTTACGAACAAGGATGGCATGTTTGGAATTTAATAACGCAAAAATGATGCACACGAATATTATAAAATTTTCAGAGAATGTACAACAAGAGTTGGAGATTCAAATAACTAATTTTCATAATATGTTTTCGAGCAATATTTAAAGTTCACCAACCCCGCAACCTATGTTAAATTCATATCTAAAAAAAAAAAAAAGAAACAAATGCATACAATGTGTGACATCTGCTCTAGAAAATTGTCAATGTCTGATTTTACAGGCATGATTGTTCCATTAAATTTTTTTCTGGGCTATTGAAATTGAAATAAAATATGTACTATGTAGTTTCCTGATCAAGATAAACAGAAAAGCTGAGGATGCTTCCATGTAGATATGACCAATCAAGGCTTTGCTGTTCTTGAGGTTTTTAAAGATTTTCCCTATATATTCCTATGTAAAACTTTGATCGCCCACTGTGGCCCCACCCTACCCCTGGGGGTCATGATTTGAACAAACTTGAATCTACACTACCTGAGGATGCTTCCACATAAGTTTCATATTTTCTAACACAGTGGTTCTCGAGAAGATTTTTGGAAAATGCCATAAATTTTTTATATATTCGCAATTATCTTCCCTTGGAAAAAGGTGTGGCCCTTCATTTGAACAAACTTGAATGCCCTTCACCCAAGGATACTCTGTGCCAAGTTTGGTTGAAATTGGCCCAGTAGTTCTGGAGAAGATGAAAATGTGTAAAGTTTACGGCAACAACAATGACGCCAACAACAGACAATGAACAAATTTTGATCAGAGAAGCTCACTTGAGCCTTTGGCTCAGGTGAGCTAAAAATGAGTCATTAAATGAAAACTTTGTTTATCACATGTAAAATTTGATAAATTCTCTTTTGGTTCCAAGTTATGGATTATTTCCTGATTTTTAAATGGACTTTTGTCGATGAATGTTCTAAAAAACAGCTAAAGATATGAACTGGAGACTTATTGGAGAAGATAGATCATGACCTTTAGATTTGCAGAATCATCTTTTTGTTTTCTACAGAGCACGAGTAATTTTAACATTTAAGTTTTAACAGATTTCATATTTCCTTTTTAAACTCTTAATGAATATAATAAGAGGCCGATAAAAAGTAAAATTACATTTGAGCCGTCCCATGCGAAAAGGGCCCTTAAGGTAAAAATTTTCAAAATTGACTTTTCAATGGATTATGATAGACTATACCCATACCGAAATAAATTATAACTTAGTTATAACTTTTGTAACTAAAAAAAGGTACAAAAAAGTTATAACTAAGTTATCGGAGTTTGGAACCGCCTGTTTTAAGTGAGGTATAATTTAGTTATAACTTAGTTACAAAAAAGTTATAACTTTTGTATAAGTTTTCATTTTTTATTTCAACATAAATACAGCAAGTGCAAAAAGTTACAAAAAAGTTATAACTACAAAAAGTTATACTTATTAAAAGTTACACAAAAAGTTATAAAAAAGTTACAAAGTTATACTTTAGTTATACCCAAATAAACGGTGGAAAAAGTTACAAAAAAGTTATATCCGGAAAAAGTTATAAAAAAGTTATACTTAATAAAAAGTAATGAAAAAGTTATAACTAAAAAAAGTTATACCCATGAAAAGTTATACCTTTAAAGATTATGAAAAAGTTACAGAAAAGTTATAACTATGAAAAAGTTATGAAAAAGTTACAGAAAAGTTATACCTAAAAAAAAGTTATAACTACAAAAAGTTATACCTAATAAAAGTTACAATAAAATTATACATTTCATGTTAACCTCTGGTGGAATTACTCAATTATAGGCTTTAAAAAAGCTACTCATTAAAATTTTTACAAAAAGATTATTAAAATTTTTACAAAAAAGATTATTTAAAAAAAATTAAAAGCACTTACAATTTTATTTTATAAACATGATTAAGAGAGCTTGGTTCATTGTCAAATACAATTGAATGAATGCACATTCATGTTTTCAAGTCTACCTTATTTTTCATCAAGCCATCATAACAGATTGAAATTTCTCACAATGGTTGTTTTCTTAAAATACATTTTTTTAGCATATAGTCATAAGAGTTTTTGTAAATTTACCTAGTAAACTGCATTCTACTCTTGTGAACTTTTATAAATAGGCATCACTGCCTAGATTTTAACTCTCTAGTTTTTCATGTTAGCGCCATGATCTAGCTGTACTTAAAAAAAAAAGAAGGTTCTAAGCAGTGATTTCGGTCACAGTTCTTAGCTGCATACCACCCAAGTCCTTGCACAGGTATCCTTGTGGATGTACAGTTGTGATTTTTATCTGGATTATTTAAAGACGGGCTGCACCAGTAGTCGGCCGAGCTGGTCGAGGGACTTGGCTGTCCGGCCAGCAGTCTGCGCCCCTTGACAGGTTGTACTGGTAGTAGGCTGAAGTGGTCATGGGACTTGGCCGGCCAGCAGTATGTCCCCCTCGACAGGCTGCACTGGTATTTGGCCGAGCTGGTCGAGGGACTAGGCTGGCCGGCAGACGGTCTGCGCCCCTCAATGGCCTGCACTGGTAGTCGTCTGAGTCTTCATTTGAAATATGCTTGCAATTTCAACCTTCTCTTCATTTTTCTTCAATTCTGCAAAAATTAAAAAGGTTCAAACTTTAAATATTTTAATTTTTTCTTTTAAAAAAAAGTTAAAGTGTTTCCTGCACTCAAAGCATATCAGATTGGAACCACTCTTTAATATCAATTCATTCAAATTCAAGGCATATGCATCTATAACTTGGAAAACAAGAATTAGAGTTCTGTTGTGTAATTGAGAAAATTCAACCTCAAGACTCATCACATACACATGCATTAAAAAAATTTTTAAACATAAAGAACAATATAGAACCTGACAGCTTTATAGGAATTAGCTTTAGATTTATCGAATTTGAAATAAAAATAAGATTTGATTATTTACTTACCTAAAACAGGTGATATTTTTGAAGGATTTCACTCCAGCTTGGCACAGACATGAGATGCTCATGGAAAGAAATAATGCACCAGTATACTGCTGAAATTAAATAAAAATTATAAATTTTATTTTACTCATTTCAGTACACTATATCATGTTATGATCATGTGGTGTTTAAAGGCTACAATATGTACAATATTAAAACAGTTCAGAGAATCTGTTAAACAATTACACAATATAGGTCATTTAATAATTAAACTGATCTATAGGAATATTTAAAGAATTAAATATGACAAAGAATAACATTTTTTGTTCACATACTAAATGCTGAAAAAAAATTATGTTTCAATTTCTTCACTTCAGTCTTTGTCATTGACACACCAATCAAAACAAACAAGAAATCTGAGATTCACATGCCTAGAATTTTGTTCATTCTACATATTTCTTCTTTTTTGAAGGCCCATCTAGAGGTAATAAACATTTCCTACCAAAAACATCAAAATATTAACATAAATATTGCCTTACCGAATGATTTTGTCATCGTTTTTCTATCAACACTTTCAACACACCAACATTCAAATCGTCCATGAAAAAATCCGCGCTCTGTTGTTGACCAATCAGAGACTTAGAATAAGTCACGTGATTGAAAATAAATAAATAAATAATTCATAATTAATTTATTTTAAATCCAAATAAACATAATTGTGTATTTTGAAACTTATCTTAAATATTAAAAAGCCAGTTGGTGTTAAAATTTTGAAATAGAGTTCAAACAAAACGGACAAAACGGACGTCGTTGCCGCCATATTTGTGTCGTTGCCGCCATTTTGAATTTAATATTTTATTTATTTATGAAAATAACTAGTAAAACTGGGTTATTTAATCAGGCAGATAATAAAATCCACATGTCCTAGTCTTCTGCTAAAATCTTAATATAACTGGCAGTCTTTATTCCCAACATCGTAATATCTGTTAATAAATGAACATACACACACTGTATGTTGTTGTTTATCTTTCTAGCCACCCTTATTACGATTGATTTACTTTAGATTTCAAACAACCCTTGTAAAATTGTACCATTGCGTAATACACAAGCTGAAATTTACGAAGTGTAGGCCAAAAAGGTCATCTAGTACAAACACCTGTGTCACGAGAAAACAATGGGGAAATTAACACTGTTTTGCACACGAAGAAAATCTGTGAAAAATATTAAATGACTTCATGAGATTATAACATTTGACCACTGTTTATATCTCTTGAACATTTATATTTCTCCAGAATTAGGGAAATTATTCCACCTTAAGATGTACATGCATATAATTTACAAAACATGAAATCTATATAATACGTATTTTCTGAGAGAGAGAGAGAGAGATTATTCCCAACTTTAGATGAAACTAGTACTTACAAGACAAATATTAATTAAACAACAATATTTATTAATGAGAGAGAGAGAGAGATTTATTCCCAACTTCAGATGTAATTTACTACAAGTCTCAACTTCACATCTCTTCTGTGGATGTGGCTGTGGACTGCAATGGATGAGAAAAACATTGGTATTAAAGATGTCTAAGAAGCCTCCCTTTTTCTTTAAAAAAAAAATCTCAACTCACAACAAAACAGAAAAATAAATGTCTGCGTAAGTAATAGCAGTATATAATGCAATTCATTATATGAATAATTTTTAGATAAAGAAAATTCTGCATATAAACAGTGGTACCTTTATGTAGCCCTTAATCATCCCCACCTTTTTATTCATATACTCTGTAGATATTACAGGTATGTAAAACTGTATTACTATACTAATATAATCATGCTTATTTATTATTTTATATGATTAAATTTCAACAGTTATATAAAAAAAAAATTTAATTTAGGTGTATGGTAAAAAAAAAAAAAAAAAAAAAAAAAAAAAACCACCAAAATATTCAGTTTAACTAAGTAGCCACTCTGCAAAATGACTAAGTCCAAATTAGGTACAAAAAGTTACACAGAAAAATGACAAAGTCCTGAAAAGTTATGTTTTAGTTACATCTGAAAATGGCTAAGTCCAAAAAGGTACAAAAAAGTTATACAGTAAAATGACAAAGTCCAGAAAAGTTATCTTTTAGTTACACCAGAAAATGGCTAAGTTCAAAAAGGTACAAAAAAGTTATACAGTAAAATGACAAAGTCCAGAAAAGTTATATTTTAGTTACATCTAAAAATGGCTAAGTCCATTTTAGGTACAGAAAAGTTATAACTAAAATGTAACTTTTTCTTGAGGTACAAAAAAGTTACAGAAAAGTTATAACTTAGTTATAACTTATTTCGGTATGGGTAGTGTAAAATAACCAAATATAAAGTTTGATTCAAATATTCAGAATAATTACTAAGATATAGGGAATCAAAGGTTTAGAAAATGTTAAAATTACCTTGTAAAATGACGTTGAAAAAAGACATTCAAACTGAAGCTTTTATATCATAAAATTTATATCATATATTTGAAATACGTATCTGATTGGAAAAAACCTTACTTTATCACATGAAAACATACTTGAAAAATTTATGCATAAATCCTCTCCTTTTCTTCTACATGCACTATTTAATTTAATTCTTTTCGTTAAAGTATATCTAAATCATACACTTGTCAAAATGGTTTCATTGTTATATGCTCAGATATACGGTTCAGAGAAAAGTTAATATTAAATAAAAAAACAAACAAATAAAAGATATATGTTGAGATACTTTATAGACTTGTATTTTATTTACTTGTAGTTTGTGAAAAATATTTTTAATTTTTTTTTAAACAGAATCCATAAGATAAGACTGATAACATTGCGTCTTCCTTGTAATTATAGAGTTCATTGTTTGATAATTTTTCATCATAAGGATATTTTTTTTTTTTTTGTTTTATTCATGACCTAAATAAATTTATGAAAGAAAGCTTGAAGGGCGGATACAGAAAATTGATCGGCAAGGGGGGGAGGGGGGCATCTACAGTAACACAATCCATTTAAAATTTTCTGACAAGTTAAAAGAATGAAGTTTGAGGATGTTTTCTGACAAATTAAATGAAGTTTGAGGAAGGGGTAGGGGGCAATATGTACCTACAATAGTGAACATACATGTATGAATTGTCCTACATTCGTAGATATTGATACAGGCAATAATACGTGCCGAGACAATCCCTTACCCCTTTTACATGGGTAATGTATGTTTCTTACGATATTGATATTAAAACTTTTCGGGGGAAAAAATTCTCATCTACCTACCGACCTAATTTTTTCATCCTGAGTCAAGAGCTCGAGAGGGCATACAAACACTATTTTAAAGTTGGCCATATTTCCTGCAATATTGGCGTAAACCGTCACAGTATTTGCACCACCTATTTGCTCTGTACCGACTTAAGCAGATCAATATTCGTATGTCTTGCAGTGAACATGTAATCTTACAAAAACTGAGGATAAAGATGTAATTTTCATATTATCATCATATCTTTATACGGTCACTATAAGTTCAGAATATATTTTGAAGTTTTTTTAATGTCACATGTACATTGATTCACCATGTACCCCCCCCCCCCTTTTTTTCGCTAAATTTCGTTTGAAGAAAAAAATCAAAAGCTTAGGCCTACATTTGTGGTTCTCAAATTTTGTGGAAGTATAATCGCTTAGTTTGGGTCTAATAAGATATGTCGTTGATCGAGAGAGAGGGAATGTTGGCAGTGAAATGAGTGGCGCTGTGGGCCGGAAGTAGTAGTGCCGTATTCCTAGGACTCTTCCCGAAATCACATACATGTATTATAAATCTAAAGTAACGAGTAAATCAGTTTCAAAGTTTATTAAAGCTTTTATCAATGGACAACAATTTTAACATTTAAGAAATGTATGCGGGGACACAGACGGAAGTGGCCAGTAATGCGTCGGGCCTCTGAACTGACACATACAATTCAGATACTGGTATATAACAGAACTCTTTGACAACAATTAGCGAATTGAGTGATAAAATGACGTGTTGAGTAAATTACATAGTCTGTGAAAAGCTTAGATAAGATGCATGGACATGAAAGAAGTTTAAATTTAATAATTACTTGATTTTTTTTATATAGGACATTAAAAAGTGTTGAGGGCAATTTACACTCTGTCCCTTTATAGTTCACAACCGTTATCCAGAAAGTGTCACTAATAATTAAGTAATTTGTAGTCAAGGAATAAATGAAGATTTGCAATTAAATTGATAAAAAGAATATATGTTTTTAAATAATATTCAAACTAAGATTTATTTCAAGAGTCAATTTTGCACGTTGATAGAAGTATTTATCTCAGATTTAGAAAGAAATCAAATTTTCTTCGCTGACACTAACAACCTGTCATTTCAGGCTCATAAAATTTTGACATGTTGTACTAGTATCTATGAAACGCCCATTGACCTTAGGTCTGATTTTGGACGATTGGATATTTTTGTATCTATCTACTGAGTAACCTCTGGTGGTATCGCCGACATTGCTGAGCACTGCCATTTTTTGTCGAAAAGGGATTAACCCCTTACCGAAATACAATTTTTCTTTCTTTGTTTTTTTTTTTGTTTTTTTGTTTTTTGTTTTGTTTATTTTTAACTTGTCATTTTAAGTCTCCCTTTTTCCCTGAAAAAAAGTTGTTACGTACATGCCTAAAGAAATATGATTCATTTAAAAAAAATAAGCAGTCATTCATTATATTTTAAAACAATTCAAAGATTAAACTGAACTTATTGCAAACCTTCCTACACAAAAATGACCCGGTATTTATTTTCATAACCTTTAAAGCAGACAAACACTTCATCTTTGTACTAAGAAATTAAAATGATAATCAGGTGCAATATTACAGGGAAGTAAATATGTGTTCAATCTTTCAGGTTTAATTTCCCCGTAATTTGGGGGTTTTATACATAATAAAGCATTATTTACTAGGAATTAAATAAAGGCATGTTGTATTGGGAGGGGGGGGGGTGTCCATACATAATTTTTCAATGGTAATTGATTGATATAGAATGAAGATGTTCACTGAATGGCTAATTGCACCACCTCTAACAACCCCAGCCCCATTATTTGTAGCAAAGTCAAATCTACCCATATTAATGCATTTTTAAAAAATCCTGGTCAATTTTTTTTTTCGTTGCAGCATTTACTTTTTTCTCATTTTTTTACGGTTGGTCCAAGACTTTAACAAATTATACTAGATTTTATTCTCAAATTTCAAGAATTATGTATCTTAGGAAACACATTAGTCTCGTTCAACCAGAAGCAAGGCTGTCTCCGTAAACAGTAAAACCGACGGTTCTGTACTTGAATGAGACAACGAACACATTGACCCGTAAATGACCGTGATGAAGGCAAATCGTCATCTATCGTGTTTATAATTGTTTTGAAAAAATAAATCAGATGTTATTTTCATTAAATTTATGCTTCACAAAGAATCAACCTTTTCAAACTTCGTCATTTGCTACATGTATAGAGCTGAACAAAATCTTAATCGCATATATAAACCTATATGCTGGGAACGGTCTAAGATTTTTCTTTTCATTTATTATAAAGTATTTCACTTCGGTTAATATGAATTTGTGTTAAAAAGGATGTGTACATGTGGAGGTATATATCAATTATGTGCATGTACGATCACTTTCAATGTATGAAAACTCGGATTAAAAAAATAGCACCGCATTATATCAGCAAAATTTAATATTCAATATTGGAAATGTCCATTTATATGGAACTTAGCTCTAAAAATTCATATTTACTTTTTTCCCCTGATATTTCATTTGCTCTAAATGATATAAACAACAATGAAATAAGTTGATAGAGCTCAGGTAAAAATGTTGGAAAATTTAACATACGCAACTTGCATTTTATGACGTTATCTTTACCAGCGTTTTTCTCATTATGACGTCAAAATACATAAGGGCCCTTTTCGCATGGGACGGCTCATTTAAGAAGCGTTTAACTGTTAAATGTGACGAATGAGTCGTAATTGGTATCTTTATAAATGATGTTTGGCGTTTTTCTGTGTAAATTCTGCGCTATTTTCATTTTTTAAAATAAATCTTAAAATTCTTGCATTTTTGAAAGACCCATGATATATTTTAAGGCATCTTTACTACAAGAAAATATAATGTAATTTTACATGCAAAAACATCACATATAAGGATTGTTATTCGGACAGAAGACCTCTCGTTGCTCACAACGAGAATCTAGTTATTATTATTTTT